GTTGGAGAAGCTTTGTACTTTAATAAATGGTTAGATTTAGATAAATCGTTAAAAAAGTCAATGCTACTCGTCATGACACGTATGTCGAAACCTGTTACTATTACAATTGGTAAAATTACTCCTGTAAAACTCACCACTTTTATCCAGGTAATCGCAGTGATTACATAGTAACATTATAATTTTTTCGACATAACCAAGGGCGTACGCAAGAAGGAGGGGCAAAGTGTAGTTAAATTATCCATTTTTTTTTCAACATGTACACATAATAAATCAAACGACGCTCATCTTCACAGAAACAGCTTTAAAACTTTTTCCATAATTTAGTCTCATTTTGTTTTACTTAATGAAAAACAAAGAATGCCCTATCCCTCACACGCCTTTGGAAATTGAGTATAAAGGCTGTTCCAAAATTATTGTTTAAAAATCAGTATTGTGTAAAAATATGTATATATTTAAAAATAATTTATTTTGTGATACCGCTCATGTTCCAAATTTTACTACTGATTTAATGTTCACCTTTAAACTTCAATGCCTTATTAATTATTTATCAGATTGCAGAAAGATCCAGATTAATCGGGGTTATACGGCTTTACTGTTTACAAACTAATAGCACTTTTTATTCACATGTAAGCGCTCCGGGATCTTGAGAAGATGTTTTATGCACTGTAGACTATAACAATAAGCAATAAGGTAGCCAATCAATGTATGTGCCATATGAATATAAGCGGTTGTTCTTTATAACCAGTCGTTATAAAGACATCGAAATGCGAGCCCTGTTTTGATGGTTGTCCCAGCGACTAAAAAAGCAGAATTTCTGGACTTTACGTTACGTTTCTTAACAGGTGGAAGAATATACTTCTGTTACTTATTAATGTGAAAATTCATTTAATTTTTATCCATTATAAATTACCCCAAATAAATGAGGATAAAATTGTTGCTGTGGTCACACCCTCGCCGCGAATCAAATCAAACTCTGCACCTTCGGCTTTCATAAATTTTTCTTCATTAACTTGAGGTTATTTACAATGGATAAAAATTAAATAAATTTTCACGTTAATATTTAGTATTACCATTACTAAATGTCAAAGTGTTTCTTATGATATTAATAATATTGTTGATTGGGTCAAACACAACTGGAACAGTCCTTGTATAAGTATGTGAAATTACTTTAAATAGTAAGAATATTTTACTGTTATTAATGAATACAATTTGAAAGGTTTTGTACTTTATGGATCTTAAAAGCATCTAAAATTTTTTACATTGGTTTTGGAGCACCTTATTTGGTATATGTATTTTACTTCACGCTTATATATATTTTGTCGCAGATTGCAAGGGCAGCATATTCCTTCATGGCGCTCCTTCAAAACAGCGACGGTGCAGTTAAGGGCTAATATGGAACAAACATGAGTCATACACAGATAATATCTTTTATTGCATTGTTTTAATAGTTGCTTATTACTTACTGACATATTCTAATGTGAGGTTCTACAGAAATCCTGCTTATCAATTTAAATTGTACGTCGCGCTTTTCTTAAATGCAATTTGAATAGCAACGTGAACACCTAGATAAAATAAAAATTTGAAAATAATCTCTAATTATAATTAGAAATTGATGAAACAAAAATATATAGTGATGAAAAGTACAAATATAATTGAACAGTTTTAATAATCCGTTCTATTAATTAATGCAATTCATTTATTGGATTTCGTTAAGATAACATCAGGCATATAACGTAGATGTTGAAACCTATTTAATATAAAGTATTGTAATTCGAAAAATAGAGGAATCACCTGCAACAATAGGCGCTTGACCTTGTGGCTTTTTCCTCATTTATTACAAAAATTAAACAACCTTAAAAAAAGTCAAGACCGAATTTCCAATTTCGTACCTCATTGTTCTATTCTACTGTAATGTAACATCCTCCAAGAGTCCCTATTGATAATGTTGTCTAGAAACATAAAAAGGTTCTGTAAATGTGATTACTGTACTTCATTTACTTTCTCTAGCGATGTGCTCCTTCCAATATCTTGGATGCGCGCTGGCAAAATCGTAGGTAGGGAGAAAAAAGCTCATTATATACTCTCGACTCTCGTTCATTAAACATACTTTTTCATACAGTACCTGCCAAAAGTTTTGTTCTATCATGAACAGTAGTGCGAGTCGAAAACAAGCGTTGAAGCCTTTAATATGTCTTCAAATATAAATAAAAATCTCGTTGATATTTTCAGTAGTAATTGGTACCAATAACAGCACATTTGAACAATGCAATTGTAGTGAATAAAATGCTCAATTTTTCCGTGCAGTACTGTACGGATTATACGCTCCTCACCGGTTAAGAGTTTGGCCGAGAGTTGTCTCCTTCCTTTTCTGGCCTAGTGTTGTTCTTTTCTACTTTGCGCCGTTCAAACTGAAGGTCACATCGCTACAGAAAGTAAACGAAGTATACCTTTGATGGACACTAGAGAATACATATTCAACCTGATTAAGCACTCATTAACAAATCTTTAACTATTACATATATTAATATTCTAACCTCTCATTATTTGTAATTCCTATCCCTTAGTTTAAGCAAAAAAACAACGATGTACGAATTCATAATTAGGAATGACCCACAAAGTCGAAATAATTGTAAACCATTATAAATAAATAAATTACTAGAGGAAACATCCTTGTTTTGTGTTTTTGTGTATTTAAAATGAATGCTGAATCCTTTCCCACATCTTATTCATGCTTTTGTTTGGGGAAGTCTGTACAATCGAAGCATGACTCAGAATATAAAACAGGAATGAAAAAGTTAAGGTTTAATTATTGTTTATACAAATTTTGTGCAGTAGTCAACTAATACATAAGACAGAGGCAACAAAAGCGCGTTGATAAAAATCAAATAGATGTAGCAGCTGTTGTTAAACAATTATAATTATATTGGTGGCACCGGCGTGCAAAGCGTAAAACTTATACAATTGACGAATTGACACCTAATGCTACTAGATTCGTAAATATTGTGCATTCTAATTTAAAATTAAAACAATGTACATTAGAAACTTATTCTCAAGCTCGGTTTTTGCTCCCAGCTACCAAAATAATGAATAAAAATCAGAATAAACATATAAAAAACATATAAAGTAAAAAAAATCTATTTCAATTTGATATAATGCCCGTTGGCCTATAACATCTTCAACTTCTAATAAGGATAAATGCTAAAGAATAAAAATATCCAGTATCCAAATATCTTTAAGGGTTCCGTATCTCAAAAAGAAAAAGGAACCCTTATAAGATTACTTCGTTGCCCGTCAATACCAATTTTTTCAGAAACGCGTTGAGGTATCAAGCTGAAATCAATCAAATGCTCAGGTTACAATCCCTTAGAGTTGTCACATATCAAACTTCTAAGGCAATGCAATAAAAAAATACGACGTGTTATGCCTTATGCTTATTTTGAAGCTTGCAAAGAAATCAAAACCAGCAGGGTACCCTTAATCATGTACATTAACAATGTGCCCGTAAAACTTGAAGTAAATTTTTTGTTGTGATTCGTTTTTTCACTTGTCCATTGAAGTTTCACTTCTACTATGTGTCCCAGCACACATTTCGTTTTTAATTTTAATATTGTAATTATACGTTTTGGGGCTGATTTTGGGAAAAACCTTAAAACATACTTGGAAAAAACAGGAAAAATTAGATCTCAGTACTCTGTAAACAGTTATATTTTTCTTTTTAAAAAAATAATAATTGGTAGGTTTCTACCATCAATTACGGCTTTATCTAAGTCGTCTTTACTCTATTAGTTATGCATCTATCTATATATCTGTTTGTCTTTCCTACAAGTGTTAATTTAAAGGTAAGTTTTCATTCATTCTGGTATAAGTACCAAATTTTTAATTCACGGGGATCTAATTGTGGACTAATACTAGTAAATATAAACCATCCTAAAAGGTGGTACTTTTATTAAAAGAAATCAGAGCTATGAGCCCAGAAAGATTTCGTCTCTTGGTGAGCAGCTTTACCAAGTTAAGGTTCCTATTAGTTTGAAAAGTAATAACTGGGCGAGTGAACTTGATACACACCATATTAAATTGTAAAGCACTCATAACGCCAACAATCATTACCAATAAAAAAGAAAGTTAAAAGTACATTAAATTATATAAGATTCGATTGCATATGTAGAATAAAAATAACTATAATACTGAAAACAACCACATGGAGGCGGTATTAAAATACAGTTGAAACCTAGTACTTGTATGTTTTCCTAAACAATATTTGTCTTGTGTAATTGCATTTCTGCATGCTCTATTATTTATCTTATAAGTAGTAGTTTCAACTTGCGATATCTTATAAGTTTAGGTATATAATGACATCTCAATTCTGTATGCATCTACAGTTGTCAACGTAAAACCAAAATGGAAACTAAAATTGAACCCGAAATTTCGAAACATTTAGAAGAAGGGCTGACTATTCTTAATATGAGTGGTGCAGTTATTCGAAAAGATCATGGTATTATGAATTGGGCAAGAACAGTGTTTCTTGTTTATGCGTTTACGACAACTCCTTTGTTTGGAGTACTTGAAATTTTACATCAGGAAAAACAAGATCTAATTCCGACTTTGGCTTTCCATTTATGTACCATGTCGATTATACTTATAAGCGCTAGTATGATACTACAATGGTACAATTCAAAGAACAGCCTCATCCAGTCAATGATTCGTGTAAGAGAGAAGCAACTGTTAGTTGGTGAAGTTGACGGAAAATTATTAGAAACCATTTCAAATGAATTGAATTTGAAAAGGAAGATTATTAGTATATTGCTGTGGTGTTTAGTAGCCATTATCTTCTGTGGTCTTATCGGATGGGTGTTTGCCTTTAGTTTAGGAACATTTAGAATGGAATACAACGAAGCAATGATAAAGAAATATCCGTTTCCATTGTCCATGTGGTTTCCAGTGAATTATACAAAAATGAAAACAACATACCTTTTGACTGGAATATTCTTTACATGTATCTATTTAATTTTAGGTAATTGCACGATTGGTAAGTAACTACATAATACTGTGATATACATCAATAAGTACTTGCCCAATTAATAAACAATAATAATACACAATTTCTGCACAATAATATTTGAAAATACGTGACACATAAATTGTATTGTAGTATTAAAGTGAAAGGTACGCTGATAATCAAAATATTGCAAATTCAATTAATAACCCAATATTTTTTCGATAAGATCCTTGTTTTACAAAATAAATTACATTAATAAAAAATTTGTGAAACTTTCGAGTATTAGTGTTATGTGTGTTATCCTTGCATTTGACTAATGGTTTGCTTGAATAGAGGTTAAAAAACTATTCAAATACAAATTGAAATTCAGTGTTTAGAAAATAGAATAGAACATAATAGAAAAATAGTAAACAAAAGAAGGTGTTTTGGCTATAATTGTTATTCATTTTAAATAGAACTGTCTCAGATAAATCACTCTCTGATAATTTAATTTATAGGGGTAATGGCGCTGTTTTACAGTTTAACTACTTTGGGAACTATTCATTTTATGATTTTGAACAATTTTTTGAAAACCATGCATAAAAGAACAGTTCAGAAACTTACAAGAGTGAACAGTACCTTCAGAAGACGAGAATATAATAACTTAATGAAAGAAGAATTGAGAAAATGTGTTATCTATTTGCAAGAAATACTCAGGTTTACTTACATTTCAGCAGTGCAGCATTTGATTCATACACATTACTATTACGCAACATACGATTAATGAATATTATTATTATTAACAATTTAACTATTATTTAGTTAATAAAACTAAACCTTGTTTGTAGTTACTGTGATCTGGTAGAAAAGACGTATAGTTCCGTACTTCTTCTTGAAGCATTCTGTTCTTGTGCTACAATTACTGGATCACTTGCAATGGTTATCAATGTACGTAAGTATCATGAATCATTTGCTTTTATTCATGTAGGTATAATATTACTATTATTTTGTGGTACAGTAAGACGTTTAATGGCAAGAAATCACTTCTATGAAGGACTGGAGTCTCTCAATTTTTCAGTTCTATTCATTCAGTCTCTCTGTGAAAGACTCTAACCTCTGAATTAACAATTTTATTGTCCTTCATACAGAGACTGTGAGAGATCCACAAAAACGCCTAGGCAATAACTGAGAGATTGTGAAAGACTGTGAGAGACGCTTTCAGAAACGCTGAAAGACTCTGAGAGACTGGAGAGAGACTGAACATTTTTGTCGAGGGGTCCCCATGAGTTTATTATAAATACACCACTGAATACGGTCCTGTTGAATACTTCAATGTTCACATAGATAGATTTTAATCAAAAATAATATCAACATGTTTCATCACAATTTTTGATTTATCCCATCGTAAACAATTTAAGAAACTGTACAACGTGTCAGTCACTGAATTTTTTCAATTTTTCAGACTCCTAAAAGCGATTCAAAGTTTATTTCATATTTCTCGATGTTTGTCATATGTCTAGGGCAAACCTTCTTGTTTTGCTATTTCGGAGATCGTTTGACCCAGGAGGTAAGACAAATCTTACAATCACTGTAAGTATACAGTTTGTGATGGCTATTTTTTGTATAATTGCAGGCAGAAAGCGTTAAAGATGCTTTGTACTTTAACGAATGGATAGATTTAGATAAGTCGTTTAAAAAGTCAATGCTATTAGTCATGACACGTATGTCGAAACCTGTTAGTATAACAATGGGTAAAGTTACTCCTGTGAAACTCACCACTTTTATTCAGGTATGGCAATCAATATATAGTAACAGTATAATTTTTTTGACGTAACCAAGGGCATCGTTATCTTATCGCCCTTCGTTGTCGCAATAGACGTACCTACTTGTGACCTTCGCAGCAGCTGATACGCAAATAAGTCAATTGCACGTAATGGCGGTTGGTACGACTGGTCGATAATCTTCGCAGTATGCTGCAAGATGTAATGGAGCGCAGCAGTATCGACAACAACACGTAAACGAAATGTCCAACCGCTTACTCGCTTAGCTAACGCCGCGAGCTCCCTCCCAATTTCAAATAATTTTTCAGTATTACTCCTGGATACTTTGTCGGAATTGTAATTTTGTTCTTTTGGACCGTAGACAGACTCAAGATGGTCATTTTAGCGCCAAATTCGAAAATTTGTGATTGACCGTTCTTGAGAAATCGGATAAACTTTTTTCTTTTCGTGGTTATTCCTCCGTTGTATGTCCCATTTTAAAAATTATATTTTACAAACAAGCTCCTAGCAGTGCACGAACATTCTATATCGGTAAAGTCGTTTAGAAGAAGAAGCGTGTCAATCGAAAGTTCTGAATAGGGGAAGAATGGATTGACAAAGTTACTGCTATTACTACACAATTCAAAAATAAGTTTATTTTGAAAATATCAAGAAAAAAATGTAGAGTGATTTCCTCCCCTTTCACACGCCTTTGGACGTTGATCATGCAGGCTGTTCCAAAATAACTGTTTAAAAATCAATAACGTTCCAATTATAAAAATATGTAAATATTTAAAAATCATTCATTTTGTAACTAAATCCTTTGCCGTATAAAGATCAGTCTGAATCTTGCACTATTAAGATATTAATATTTTTACAATGAAATTTGCCTGCAGTGATTCTGAAGAGACTTCACAAAGCAATCATACTAAACATAAACTGTGAAAATAAAGATTGTATACCTTTATATCGTAACTTCCTCTACCAATAACTTTTGTAACGGGGTCACTCATCTTCTAGTACTACCGATACAAGTTTCACTTTTAAACTTCAATGTTTTATCAACTATGAGCTAGCGAAAAAGTCCAGTTTAAGTAATGTTATGCTTCTTTACAATTTACAAACTTTTGATTCATAAGTAAACGATCTGCGATGTTTACAAGAAAATTTTTACACTGCAACAATAACCNATGGCCTAGAGGTTTAGACCATTGCTTAGCATTCGGGAGGACGCCGGTTCGATTCCGGGTCCGTCTGCCTTGGTCCAAGTTTTTCTGTGGTTTCCTAGGTTCACTTAAGCAAATGCTGGGGCAGTAATATTCCACAGATAATTTTTCATTCTCTTCTGTCTTCATTTCGTTCGTCTCAACATTCTCACCTGAACCACCACCCACCCGTTCCCACGATTCCTGAAAGCAGGCTGAAGAGGACCTTCCGCCCTACCTTCCGGCGTAGTCCGGAGGAACTGCCCGCCCACCAGCATTACTGGCTGGTGGGAATGAAACAACCAAAAGTTTTTTTTTTTTCAACATGTACATTTACATATACACTGGATCTGATCAGTATCTCGGAATATTTGAAAGGTAACATCTGGAGGCGCTGTAGAGTGCATCTCGTGAAAGTGTTCCACAAAACTGCACAAAAGGTACCCTAATTAATGAGTTGCCAATTATCGAAAAAATTCGACTGACGAGCGGTCACGTTATCTTATCGCCCTTCGTTATCGCAACCGTCAAGTGACGAAATACACGTACCTACTTCTGACCCTCGCAGCAGCTGATAAGCAGACAGGTCAATTGTACGTAATAAAGCTCAGTACGAAATGGGGCGAAGCAGTATATAACTATAACACGTAACGAAATGTCCAACCGGTTACTTGCTTAGCTATCGCCGCGAGCTTCCCTATCAATATCAAATAATTTTTCCCGATTATTCCTCTATGGTATGTTCGAATTGTTGATTTTATTCTTTTGGACTGCAGACAGTCTCAAAATGGCAATTTTAGCGCCAAATGCGACAATTTATGATTGACCGTTTTTGAGAAATCAAATAAAAATTTCTTTTTCTGATGATTATTCTTCTGTGGTATTTCCGATTTTAAAAATTAAATTTTGTAAACCTGATACTGACTGTTCATGAACACTGTGCCAAATTGTTTTACCATAAAATACAAAAATAAATTTATTTATCAAGCAAAATATAATGTATTCGCTTCGCACACGCCGTAACTAGTGGGTGAGGGCCAGCCGGTCGATATGAACGAAATCGTTTTCCGACTAACACAAGACTATCCCGGTGTGAGTATTCCAGTCATTGCATAGCAAACGGGGATTTCGGGTGATACTGTGTGGAGCATTTTAAGGGAGAATTCCCTGCATACGTATCATTATCGAAATACGTCATACCTACGAACGTGTTCGACACACTACTCATACTTTTGCGAATTGTTCTGTTACCGTCACCATATGAAATACCCAACAGTGCATTCCTTCCTTGTCCGAATTGCGTACGGAACTCCTCCACAGCATATCGCCACGCCGTGTTACACAAATACGTACACTAAGTAATCCGGGTCATAATTGCCGGAGCAGTTGGGGTCACTACTTTCATGTTTATGCATATCATTAAGTAGTGTGAGATGGCTCATTCTTCTTCCTTCTAAAGGTACTTCTCCCTTAATTTATCCGTAGTACTGATAATATCATCATCATCATAAGGTCGTCAGTCCTAAGACTGGTTGGACATGTACCTCCACTCTTTCCTACCCCGAGCTAAACTTCTCATGTCCCTAAAACTAGAACAGCCCATATCCTTAACTATTTGCGAATAGTAATCTAATCTAGGTCTACCACTACTCCTGTTAACTCCTGTTTCTGCCTCTGATATGTCTCTGAAGGTGTCCTACCAACCTATCTCGCCTATTTTTTATTGACTTACTGATAATATATAAAATAAATATAAATAGTAGCCAAACAACGCGGATTCTCAGAAAGAAAAACTTTTAAAACCTTTTCCATTATTTGGTCCCATTTTGTTTTACTTGATGAAAAATAAAACCGCCCCCCCCCTTTCATATGGCCTCGGACGTTGATTAAACAGGCTGTTCCAAAATCACTGTTTAAAAACCAATAACGATTTAACTATAAAAATATGTAAATATTTAAAAACAGTTTATTTTGCATCTAAATCCTTTGCTCTATAAAGATCAGTCTGAATCTTGCACTATCAAGATATTAATGTTTTTACAATTAAATTCGTCTGCAGTGATTCTGAAAGGAAATCACAACGCAATCATACTAAACGTAAACTGTGAAAATTAAGACTTTATACGAAGAAATATATTGATTATCGTAACTTTTGTAACGGGGCCACTCATGTTCTAGTACCTGCTATCCATACAAGTTTCACTTTTAAACTCCAATGCCTTATCAATTATCAGTTAGCGAAAAAGCCTAGTTTAAGTAATGTTATGCTTCTTTACAGTTTACAAACTTTTTATTCATAAGTAAATGCCTAGCGAAATTTACACTGCAACAATAACTAATAAAGTTGCCAATTAATTTATATTCCATATGATTATAAGCGGTTGTTGTGAATAAACACAGTCATATTAAACAAATAGAAATATGGGTCCGGTTCTAGCAGACCTTGTAGGTTTATACCAGTGCCGGGGATATTTTATTACATAGAATCATCCAAGGTCGGTATTGTTTTAAAAATACGACGTGGTACAGGAAAATTCGTATAAATACTTTCAGAGTTTATTTAATATAAATAATAAAGTAATGTAAGTACAATAAATGCAATTGAAAGCGTTAGAAGGATGCTCAAAAAAATTTAGGAGTTCGGTTTTCACATTTTGCAAAAAAAATTACCATAAAGAAATGTACAGTTGTAATGTTCGGTGGACATTTGCTTTATCCGAATAACAGAACAAGTTTCCATTCTTCTGGAAGGCTAATAGAGTGTGTCTGGAAAGTTATCGAAATTCTTTTGTTACGCGATCATGTATGTCACTCATGACTCAGTTTCATCGAGGCGAGCAAAGCAATGCGGTTACACCGTAGGCGATCGATATATAATCTGTATTGATTTCATCACATACGTAAGCACACAGGAGTAATATTACCTCCTTATGTGGGCACTCGTATAGTTGTGATTTCTCGAAACGAATTACCACTTTATGCGGAGTCATTATATGCAAATTTCTCATTCGCACTTCTTTAGTAAATATATTTCGAAATGGCAGGCACCTACACGTTAGTCGTCAATAGTGACATCTATCACGTATTTTTGCAAGACAATAAGTTCGTTTTCATAATTTGCTGTTTAAATTGTCGACAATGTTCTGTGTTTTTTTACATTGCCTTTGGAACACCTTAATTATCAAGTATTTGTGTATTATTTGCTTTAACAGCAGTTTTATTATCACAGATTGCAAGGGCAGCATATTCTTTCATGGCGCTCCTTCAAAACAGCAACGCTGCAGTTAAGGGCTAATATGGAACAAACATGAACTATATACTTAGATAATATCTTTTATTGTTCTGTTTTAATAGTTAGTTATTACCTAGGTACTGTTATATTCAAATGAGAGTTTCTCGAGAAATCCTGTTTATCAATTTAAATTGTGTCTCGCACTTTTCTTATATTCAATATCAGTAGAAACATGATAACACCTAGATAATTAAAAATTTGAAGACAGCAATCTAGAAATAGTAGTAGGCGTCAAATAGCATAAGTACTACAAAGCTCTAGCTACTTTTGTGTTTTCATACACAACATTTCTCCTGTATAATCACATTACTGTATGTTCTTTTATTTATCGTATAATTGTACTTAAGTAACGAGTAGTTTCTTTTTGAGATATCTTATTTATACGTTCATGTATGCACTCAGGTATATAAGAACATCTCAATTCTGTCTTCATATGCATAAACGGGCCGTAACCTATTTGTTCCTGGTGGCAAAATAAAAACAGAATGGAAACTAAAATTGAACCTGAAATTTCGAAACATTTAGAAGAAGGGTTGACTCTTCTTGACATAGGTGGTGCAAGTATTCGAAAAAATCGAGATATCTTAAAGTGGCCAAAAAAAATCTTTTTTGCTTATGCATATACGATAAGTCCTTTGTTTGAAATACTTGACATTATCAATCAGAAAAGAGAAGATCTAATTCCGACGTTGGCTTTCCATTTGAGTAGCATGTGGGCTATATTTGTAACTGCCATTATGATACTGCAATGGTATAGATCGAAGGACAAACTCATCCAGGCAATGGTTCGTGTTAGAGAAAAACAACTTTTAATTGGAGAAGTCGAAGGAAAATTATTGGAAACCGTGTCAAAAGAGTTAAATTTGAAGAAGAATCTCATTATTATTTTCTTGTGGTGTTTGGTAGGGATTATCTTCGGCGGTGTTATAGGGTGGATATTTGCATTTTGTTTGGGAACGTATAGAATTGATTACAGTGAAGCAATGGTAAAAAAATATCCATTACCGTTTCCCATGTGGTTTCCAGTGAATTATACAAAAACGAGAACAACATACCTTTTGGCTGGAGTATTTGCTGCGAGTGTTTATCTGGTTATAGGCATTTGTACGATCGGTAAGTAACTACAAAATATACACAGTTTGGGGCAAAATTAATGTAATACTGTCAATTGGTTACCAGTTTGTTAAATATATGACATCCTATGACATTGTAAGTTACTTAATAGTGGATTAATATGTAATGTTAATTTGAAATCATTTTTTCGATTTTTTATTTACCCACTACAAACTACCTCAAATTAATGAGCGAAAAATTGTTGCTGTTGTCACACCGCCGCCGGGAATCGAACCCGGGACCTTTGGCTTTACGTACCAATGTTCTACCACTAAACTACGAGATGTGACAACAGCAACCACGACATAACCGATCTACAAGGTTAACGATCCATCGATTTTTTATTAACTTAGTTATATATATATTAAATATATGAAATCCTATGACATTGTTAGTTATTTGATGACTAGTAAATGATTTCAAATTAATATTACATATTAATCCACCAGTAACTAACAATGTCGTAGGATTTCATATATTCTCTAACGGTGATTCGACGATTGGCCAATACTATTTACTTCACTTCATCAATGTTTTTGTCTACTGTTGACGTTTTCGGGCGTCTAGCACGCTCTTCCTCATTGCCAATCCTGCACCTAACGATTTACTGAATCTTTTCAAAAATGTTTAAAAGATGCTAAAATGGAAGCGCTGCTTCTGAGCATCAGAAATACGATTTAATGTTAAATTAGTATTAATTAAGTCGTTGGTTTCTCTATCTAACACTTGCAAGGTAAGATTTACGCACAATAAAATAAAATCACATTTCATCTAAGTAACTACTTCATAAAAAATTGTTTCAGTTTAAGCACTAACAACAAAAAGATTGATTATATGGTAAAATGAAATGATAGTTTTGGTTTCTCTCTTTTTCCCTTCCTCCTGTCGACTACGACTGCTGAAACAATTTGAATAGTGCATGATTTTCTTCGTTATTAACGTTCTTTTTGTACGTTTGATTTCACATCATTTGTTATTTGTAAGTTTTAACATTTAATAAAATTTAATTTTTTATTGTTACGTGTGGGGTATTTTTAACATTTTCTATTACATATAACACGTGTGTGTGGGTGTATATCTACATATATAACATCTATGGTGTTGACGAGAATATAAACCCTTTTCATTCTTTGAATTCTCATTCAAATATGCAATGATAAAGGCACTACTTGCTATTAACGATTAATAATTAGTAAGACAACTAATAAGAAAGCTCTTGGTTCGTTTATATATTTTTGTAAGTGTATTTACAATAAATTTCACCTAACTGTTAATATCGGGCATTATTTAGATAACGCCAGTCGTGAATGCTTTTGTTTCCGATCAACTGTTAGTTACTTCATAGTTCAAAGTAGAAAATCAATATATTTATTAACATATTTTATATTATAAGTATTAATTTGGGTTTACGGTTTTTCTAAAACGCAC